TCATATATGGTTTACTCGCATCCCACACGATTTCAATCGGGGTACCCTTATTCAAATTCATTTCAAAAAATTCTTTCATCTGCTTTTTAAATTATATTATATTTTTTTCATATCTAAACAAATTTTCATTTAATCTTCATGATCTTCTCTCAATCTTTCCCATCTCAATTTCTATCCATACTGGGCTATGGTCAGTTAGAATTCTTGGAAAAATCTTTGTTCTTTTTGTCTTGACAAGTAAATCATCTGATAATAAAATAAAGTCAATCCTAGAAAAAGATCTATGCCTATCTGAGAAAAAAGTAAAATCCAAGTCTTTTGGATTATATATTCTCCAAATATCTTTTAATTCCAAGTCTTCTTTCATGTCAAAAAAAGTCTGTGGTAGTCTAATCCTTGACTTCGCCAAGCTCTTTTTATCAATTTGGAGTCAATTACTCCATTCCAATCTTCCATGATTAAAATAGATCTATAATCCCATTGCAGTATTTTGGTGTGCAAAGTTTTGTAAAAATGATCCTGTTGTTGATTAGGAGCATAAATTCCGATCACTAGAATTTGGCCACTTACTGTGTGCAGTTCAATTGCTATGTACCTGCCGCCTTCATCTGCTTCTATAATTTTAGCTGACAGTTTTTTATTTATATAAATAACCACACCATTCTTTTTTTCCAAATTTGAGGCTATAAAGTGTGTTCCTAGTTTTGAGTTTATCAAGTATTTTTGATCTTGTGTTCTGACATGAGTTTCTTGTAGGCAAATTACATCATTATTAAATTGTCTCAGATATGTGAATAATTTCTTCCTTTTCTGTGGTGAATTCAATCCATTCACATTCCAAGATAGAAACTTAATCGTCATGTAGACTTTTTTGAAGCGACGAGCAGAATTGCCGAATATCTTCCGAAGTCTTTGGCTTTGCTCCCCCCATGGCTTCACTTTCTTGTGTAGTACTCTTGACTCCCTTCTTGTATTGTTGTACCTTAGATCTTTCCTGTTGTTGCTTTTCTTTAAGTTGCTTAGAAATTGCTCGAGTTACACGCTGGTCTTTAGCTTCAGCCATCCGGACTAGGTCCAAAGCCACATCTCTTGTAGTCAAAATCGGAGAAGACTCTAACAGGGGCTCCTCCAGAAAACCACCTGTAGCACCCTGCATTTCTGCTGCCTCTGGTTCCACCTGCTTAAGCTGCTCTTCCATCTCTTGCTGTGGTTGCTTCTCCTTGTCACTCTCCTTTATCTCCAACACGGTGGATGTACGTGGGGATGGTGATCTCTCTTTAAGAACAGTAGAATAGAATTGTTCCGCCTTCTCAACAGTGTTTAATCGATATCTTTCTCCATTGTACCTCAGAATTATGCCAGTTGGGGCATCCCACCAAAATGGAATTTGTTGTTTTTTCATTCATGGTTCTCTCAATGAACTGTAGCTCTCCAGTGCTGGCAGCACTCATGCAGCCCCCAGACCATGACATTCCCACCACCATGCTTGACTGTAGACAAGATACACTTGTCTTTGTACTCCTCATTTGATTGCCGCCATATACGTTTGACACCATCTGAACCAAATAAGTTTATCTTGGTCTCATCCGACCACAGGACATGGTTTCAGAAATCCATGTCCTTAGTCTGCTTGTCTGCAGCAAACCATTTGCGGGCTTTCTTGTGCATCATCTTTAGAAGAGGCTTCCTTCTGGGATGACAGCCCTGTAGACCAATTTGATGCAGTGTGCGGCATATGGGCTGAGCATTGACAGGCTGACCCCCCACCCCATCCCTTCAACCTCTGTAGTAGTGCTGACAGCACTCATACGTCTATTTCCCAAAGCCAACTTCTGGACATGATGCTGAGCATGGGCACTCAACTTCTTTGGTCGACCATGGCGAGGCCTGTTCTAAGTGGAATCTGTCCTGTTAAACTGTTGTATGGTCTTGGTTACCCTGCTGCAGCTCAGTTTCAGGGTCTTGGCAATCTTCTTATAGCCCAGGCCATCTTTATATAGAGCAACAATTCATTTTTTCAGATCCTCAGAGAGTTCATTGCCATGAGATGCCATGTTGAACTTCCAGTGACCAATATGAGAGCGTGAAAGCGATAACACCAAATTTAACACACCTGCTCCTCCTTCACACCTGAGACCTTGTACTACTAACGAGTCAGATGACACCAGGGAGGGAAAACGGCTTTTTGGGTCCTATTTGGACATGTAGGAGTGTACTCACTTTTGTTGTCACCAGTTTAAACATTAATGGCTGTGTGTTATTTTGAGGGAACAGCACATTTACACTGTTATGCAAGCTGTATACTCACTACTTTACATTGAAGCCAAGTGTCATTTCTTCAGTGTTGTCACATGAAAAGATACACTAAAATATTTACAAAATGTGAGGGGGTGTACTCACTTCTGTGATATACTGTATGTGCCAAGTCAGTGTTGATTCTTAGATTTTAGTATTGTTGATTATCCTTTTTATTATTTACATTATTTATTTATTGTATAATTTATTTATCAATTATTATTATTTATATAAATTAAGATGGTGAGCACACCTAATATTCCTTCCTCCTCCTATTGTCCCACAACAGCTCTGAATGATGGGTTGAGGTAAAAGAGAATATCAAAGTCACCCTGCTGACATTCAGGCCTGAATCATTCAAAGTATGATCCTGGTTAATTGTATCTCTAGGTTGATTTATTTAATGATCTATTTGTTTGTTTTCTTGGCTTCAATGTATTGCCAGGAGTCTTCTCCAATATTAAAGTTCAAAAGTATCATTTTTCTATCCTGCTTCTTTTAATTTCAATTCACTTGGCATCCTTCAGTCTCAAAAGACTGTGGTATCGTGCTCTGGAAAGAGGTCCTAAAATGGCATCTAGTGTGACTAAAAAGGCCAATTCAAGATAGCAATCCCTTCCACACTGAGGGCAGATACATTCTGTCCCCTGCCCAGCCCCCAGATTTTGCTGGTTCCAGGACTGCCTCTTTGCCTCAGCCTGCCAAACAAGTGTCTCTTCGAATTGGAGAAGGCCATGCTGCCTTAATTTCAATTAATCCCAAACAATTCATAACTTTTACCAATTCTGATTATTGAAAACTTTATTTGTTTTTCTCTTCTATTCTCTCATTTTCATCTGAGCCTCACTTCCAGTTGCTCCATGATTGACACACTACTGAGATTGACAGATACCCCTTGGAGTCTGATGTTTAGAGGTCACATAAGCAGTAATAGATTCTGTTCCAGAATTTAGCATCAAATATTGGCTTTCAGTGTCAGAAGGGTTAGAGTTAAATGCCAATTAACTCTTTCTAACCTGAACTCACAAGCAAAGCATCCATGCCTTATTGGTTTTGTGCTTTTGATATAATCTCTAAACCTCATTGTAGAAACTGATTTCTGATCATGTTTTGGTAATTTGATAACATGAATTAAGGCTCCAGATCCAAATATTCAAATATCCAAATATCGGGCAATTCAGAAAAGTAGTGCTATATAAAAGACAGTGCTAATACATCTAAATAGCTGAATTTGTCTTATTTGGGAAATATAAACAGCAAACATTAAGCTTGTTATCTCAAATGTTTAACATACAATGTTATTCTTCTTGGATTGTACTTAATTTATATACTGTGGTTCTGTTTGTAGCTAGAAATATATGGTTTGTGAAGAGATGATTTGTATCAAGTATCTCCATATGATTCAAACGTTCTGTTGTAACCATGATAGGAAATTCCATTTTATAACCTGTTGCAGGAAAGCCTCAGTCTGCAAGGATAGAATTACCTCTTTCTTACTGCTTATTGATTTTAAATGGATGTATTAACCTTTGTAATTTGTGTACAAGCTTGTATTTGCTGTTGGATTTACCCTCCCAAATGCCCTAGGCACGTGATAGCGAACCTATGGCACAGGTGGCACACATTGCCCTCTCAAGTTCAGTTCTGCCGTGCATGCACGCGCACTTCCCACCAGCCAGTTGGTCGTCGGGTCTGCCACGCATGCGCAGGAGGCAGGGGAGTGGGGGTGCTGTGTGCACATGTGGGTGGGTGCGTGCGGGGCCCCATGGGTGCACGGGGGGCAGTGGGGGCATGCATGGGTGGGGGCACATGGCCGTGCATGCATGCACGGGAACGGGACACATGCGCAAGAAACGTGCATGCACAGGGGGCGGGGCACATGTGCGGGGCCTGCACGTGCATTGCATTTTGAAGGCTCAGGTGTGCGTGCATGCTTTGGTCACTAGGTCTGGAAAAGGTTAGCCATCACTGCCCTAGGCTATCTTCCTTCACTGCAGCTGAAACTAAAAGCTGGATATATGCATTGGTGTGTGTGTTGGGGGGTGTGTGTGAATAATTTTTTCTTTTTTTCCTATTCTTTGTCTAATAAGGAAACCTTAATATAATTTTCTACTCACGGTAAAGAAATATAAAACTGGCCATTAGAGTGCTAAGTGGCTGAGGCATTTGGGCTGCTGTGATATATTAGCAGTAAAACAAGCACTATGAAAATCTTCATCATTCTAAACAGAAAGGTTTCTTCTACGTTTCTTCTAGTCAGATATTCATCCTAAATGCATCAGATATATCAGTTTGATATATAGTTTTTGCTGAATTTACTTACACAGTTGCAAGTGTGAGTGGCTTGACTGATCTGTGCTTTTAATTTCCAGCCAACCAAAGAACTTTGCTGGGATGATTTGTTGAAATGATAATTGATAGGATATCTTGCATACTGTAAAAACTAGTGGGCAATGTTGCATTTCAAATCTACAATTGAACCATTTCATCCAATATCTTTTCAATAATTAGGACCACAGTAGCTTGTTGCTAAAATACATCTTTAGAATTTGTTTTCATTATGCTGCATTGTTATTAAGAAATCTCACTCTTTAATTTTTTTAAAGAAAATAATTGCCAGGCTTGAAATAAAGTGTAAAACTTTAACATTATGCCTTTCAGAGTTGGTCTCTCTGAAATGCTAATGTCATTGCTTTTTCTTAAAGGAGGCCAGGCAACTCTACGTAGAATATAAAGAAACAAAAATAAAAGAGAAAGAAGAGGCTTCGGCAAGAGCTGAACTGGAAACACTTCAGAGTGAGTTTTTTTTAGTGCAGTTTTATTGCATTTATTCTTTCTAAAATGGTATGTGTGGGAGGCAGGGGGGTGGGTGGGTTTTCCACCTATCTCAGCATGTCCCATTTTCTACACAGATGGAGTCTAACTGAAATCTAATTCTATAGATGGAGTCAGATTCCATCTGTGCAGAAAATGGGTTTACTAAGGATCAGATTAACTGCAATATGAAATTCCCAAAATTACTTCTGAATTCCTGTTGTCTTATTGCATTCAAATCAATTAATCAGGTAAGAAATAAGGTTGGATAAAACAGCACAAATATATTAACAATTCCAAAAGATATGACTTTATATAATGTCCTGAAGAAATAGTAATCACTTAGTTTTGTGCTTTCCTGGGAAAAAAATTCTGATAAACTTCGTAATAGTTCCAAATTGATTTGACTACTAAGCACTATAAAATGTGCTCAAAATGATACGAACTTACCGAAAATGTTGCTATGCGTAACTTACTCACAAAAGATGTGGTTCTTTGATAATTTGAAGTAGAACCTTTGAGATTTTTCTGTTTCACCTTTATTTAATTGCAATATCTAAACTGCTTGCTATGTATAAAAACTGTGAATATTATTTCTCCTTTTCCTCATTTTATTTATTCTGTAATTGTTCTGCATCATAAAATGCTTAGCAATATTATTTTGCAGGTATTATTGCCTCTTAGTACTATTACAGATTTTCCAGTTTGCCCCATTTCTGTCATATTAAAAAGTAGGCAACATGAGGGTCGTCCCAACAAGAGGGATGCGGTGGCTCAATGGCTAAGACACTGAGCTTCTCAATCAAAAAGTCGGCAGTTCAGCGGTTCGAATACCTAGTGCTGTGTAATGGGGTGAGCTCCCGTTACTTGTCCCAGCTTCTGCCAATCTAGCAGTTCGAAAGCACATAAAAAATGCAAGTAGAAAAATAGGGGCCACCTTTGGTGGGAAGGTAACAGCGTTGTGTGTGCCTTTGGCATTTAGTCATGCCGGCCACTTGACCACGGAGACGTCTTCGGACAGTGCTGGCTCTTTGGCTTTGAAATGGAGATGAAAACTGCCCCCTAGAGTCGGGAGTGAATAGCACATATGTGCGAGGGGAACCTTTACCTTTACCTTTAACATGATGACGTCAGGTATTCCTTAGTGTTCATTGGACTTCATATCCAACTGACTTTTTTTAAAGGTTATAATTTTTTATATGAAGACCAAAGAAGGGGATAGAAGAGGATGAGATGGTTAGATAGTGGCATCAGTGCAATAAACATGAATTTGGCCAAACACTAGGAGGATGGGGGAGGTCCATGGGGTCATGAAGGATTGGACACAATTTAGCAACTGAACAACAACAACAATCTCTTATAAAATACAAATCTGGAAATTTGCAGAACAGAACAGTAGACTATAATATTGCAGATTTTTCAGCCATGCCTTTGAGCACCAGAGTGTTTTTTTTAGAATAGTAGAGAGTATTATCTGAGGCTAATTTATGCTCTGGAAATGGATTTTTTTCTGATTAGCCATTTTAGTAAATAAGCAGTTTCCCACAGCAGCTATTTTGTAAGTATACCTGCCATATGTAAAATTTATATTTACCGACAATAACACACACAAAAAATAGTTTGTCGCAAAAGCGACTGCCTGAGTAGGATCCCGGATTGGGGCTGAAGACAAAAGCGGAAGCAGTATGCTCCATTTCCATATTTGGGTAGACCAGGTTGTCCTGATAAAAAAACACATATACTTGCTACCTTGTTTCTCCAAAAAGACGACACACCTTGAAAAGAAGCCCTATCACGTTTTTGAGTGCATGCAATCAAATTAAGCCCTCCCCAAATTAGCCCTAATTAAGACCCCACCTACCCCGGGGTCCAGGGGGTGGGCGAGGCACACAGGTAAAAAATAAGCTAGGGTGGGGATGGGGGAGTGGAGCTGCCCTATTTACCAGGCCTCGCACACCCCGACACCTGCCTTGCCTTCTCCGACAGCCCCGCCCAGCAAGAGCCTGCTGCTGGCCCACTTCTTCTGCGGCCACTTGCCACTATTTGTATGCATTACCCTGGCTTTCATGTCACCTTCAGATGCCTGCCAGAAGGCATCTGCAAGTTATAATAGAGGCCGGGGCGATGCGTGCGAGTGATGGCAAGTGACTGCAGAAGAAGTGGGCCAGCAGCAGTCTCCTGCTGGGTGGGGCTGTTGGTGCCACCGCCGCGAGGTGAGTCAATAATTAGAATCTCCAAAAAGAAGGCCTAGCAGTTTCTTCGGGGGTCAAAAGAAAATAAGATCTGGCCTTCTTTTTGGAGAAACACAGTATATGTTCTGAAAATGCCAAATGTGCTCATAGTCCCCAAAATTTATCTACTACTCCAGTGAATTTATCTGTTTCCAGACATACACATGCTATGTTAGCAGACTCCACTATGAATTTATTTCATTATGGCTATCTTTTATCTTTATACAACTTCTATCTAACCCCAGCTGGGTTCATATTTATTTATTTTGTTTTATAGAATGGAAAGTAGGGGATCAGGCTATTAATTAATTTCAAGTATTTTTATATTGCTACATTTCTAGATGGATTTACAAATCAAAACAGCAAAATAATGAAAACCATAAACAAAATGTGACTGGTAGCTGACTACTAGTCATATAGGGAACACAGAATAATCATCTCCAAAGAAAAACCATATTTCCATTGCTTTTTGGAAGCTGACTAAACCGGCTACTAGAAGAATCTTTGTATGGGTGTATGCAGTATTCCCAAGAGTCTGGGCAGCAATGGGACTGCAGTGAAATTTTAGGGAGTATTAAATGGGTTAATAATAGCTTTGCCAGAATTAATAAATACATAAATTACTACTAAAGTAGTTGTCTGATTTAATTACATTTTGATTCACCTTTCTGCAAGCAATTCACAATGACTTGGCAGGGGTTATCTCTATTTCTTTATTTTATTTTGTAAGGTTGATTACCATGACAGTGAACTGACCATCCCAAAGTATATCTGTGTAATGCATGCTGCTTCAGGTGGTAGTTCTTGTTGAATTAGGATTATCCAACAGTAAAATGGAAGACAGATTTTGATTTCACTATATGAACAACTGCACATATCACAGTACTTCATAGAAATAAAATGCAGTTTTTTTATCTGGGAAAAAGTTAGGGGTTCTTAAAAGAACATGGGTATGTAAAATGTGAAACCTCATCTATTGAGAATCAAGCTTTCTGTTTTCCATAAAACTTTCTGGTGATCCATGTTTTGATGTGTGGAAGGGCAGTGGTAAGCAACCTGCTGATCTCCAGTTGTTTTTAACTTCTACTTTCCTTGACCTTAGTTGGCATTGATAATGCTAAGGAATTATGGGAGTTGTAGTCAAAGAATCTGGAGGATATCAAATAGTAGAGTGTTCCAGAAAGTCTATTTGGCCTCAAAAATAAAATAGAGTTTAATAGATAGAAAATGAATCATGTTCTTCTTTCTTTCCCTGGTTATGAAGAGATCTAAAATATTTCTCTTAATGTTTTGGAACCTGTAATTTTGAATGAGATGAACCGTATTTAGACTCCAATATAATTTTAAAAACTAGGCAATTTCAAGCCATAATTTTTGAATCATGAACATTTATTATTGCTTTTTTTCTATTTGAATTAAATTCCTAAATTGGGAGACCCCAATGATGGTCACTTACATTTTGCTCATCTCCCGATTAGATTATTGCCACATTCTTTATGTCACCCTGTGCTTGAAGAGCACTCAGAAGCTTTCAGGTGGTCTAAAGTGCAATGAATGGCACATGCAGTTTGGGGTGTACAGATAGTCCTCAATATATGATCACAATTTACCCCAAAATTTCTGTTGCTAAGCAAGATACAGAAGTTGTTAAATTAATTTTGCCCTATTTTACCACCTTTGTTGCCACAGATGTTAAGTGAATCACTGCAGTTATTAAGTTAGTAACACATTGTTAAATGAATCTGGCTTCCCCATTGACTTCGCTTGTTAGAAGATAATAAAAGGTAATCCCAGGACCCTGGGACACTATAACCTTATAAATATGAATCAGTTGCCCAGTGTCTGAACTTTGATCATGTGACCATGTTGCAACAGTCATAGGTGTGAAAAACAGTCATAAGTCAATTTTTCCTGTGCTGTTATAACTTTGAATGGTCATTAAATGAACTGTTGTAAATTGATTACTACCTATGCCATGATACATTCACATAACACTGCTGTTACTAGTGTTGCATTGGCTGCTAGTGGGCTTCCAGGTACAAATTAAGGTAGATGTTGTCACCTTTAGATCCCTACATAGGTTGTGACCAGATTATTGCAGAATTTATTTCCCTGTTGCCCACCTATTAATTCTAGCAAAGTGGATGTGCTCTAGGTCCCTTCTGTTGAGCTTTCTCTGTCATGGTATCTATCTTATTTATTTATGTTTTATTTAGAAAATTTATATTACTGCCTACTCGCACATGGTGAGACGTCTTACATCTGAGGCGGCTTACATGACATAAAAGCACAATATAAAAGAAAATAATAACAATAACAACCCCATATCCTACCTTGGTGAAAGCACACATTCATACCAGCCATTTAATGGGCTCCATCCCACTCTGGATTCCCCAGGTCCCCAAAATCACATCTTCAGAGCTTCCAAAAGAGTTAGATTGGGGGCCAACCTAATTTCTGGACGGGTGATGTTCCAGAGGGAGGGAGCCACCACAGAGAAGACCCTTCTTCTGGGTCCTGCCTGATGTATCTCCTTAGGAGACGGGACCCGTAACATTCCTTGCCTCCCTGCTCTAGTGGGCATGGTCTCTCAGATAACCTGGTCCCAAGTCATGAAGGTCTTTAAAGGTGAAAACCAGCACCTTGAATTGCCCCCGGAAGCAAATAACCAATGCAGTTCCCGCAGAAGAGGTGATACATGTATACACCGAGGTCTGCACAAAACCATGTGGAGTTTTCGGATGTTTTTCAGGGGTAGCCCCAGTGCATTGCAATGATCAAAATGGGAGGTGCCTCGGGCACGAGTGACCGTGAGTAGGGATTGTTGATCCAGGAAAGGGCATAACTGGCTCACAACCCGCAGTTGCACAAAGGTCCTCCTGGCCACGACTACCACCTGCTCTTTGAGCTGGAGTCACGAGTCCAGAAGAACCCCCAGATTACACACACGGTCTATTTGGGGCATGCCATCTCACCTAAGACCAAAGGTGGTAATTCTCCATGGGCCAAAGAACCCCAAACCCAGAGCCACCCCGTCTTCCCAAGGTTCATTTTCAACCTGTTGCTCCCCATCTAGCCCCTAACAGCCTCCAGGTTCTGCAAGAGGGAGATCATGGCATCACTTAACTCACCATGGGCTGAGATATACAGCTGGGTATCATTAGCATATGGATGATATGTCAGACCATAGTGACAGATGATCTCATCCAACAGCTTCATGTGCCTGTTGAATAAGAGCGGAGAGAGTACCGATCCCTGCGGGATCCCACAAAGCAATGGATGAGGGCTGGATCTCTCGCCTCTTATTAACACTGACTGAGAGTGACCACAGAAGAAGGAAGTGAACCAGGATAGCACAGAGCTTCCAACCCCTGAAGCTGCTTCAGAAGGATACTGTGGTCAATTGTATCAAATTGACCACTAAGAGGTCAAGTAGAGCAAGGATGGATGCACCACTCCCATCCCGCTCCCACCATAGATAACGCAACCAGTGCCATTTCTGTCCCACATCCAGGCCTGAATCCTGACTAGTAGGGGTCTAGATAATCCATTTCATCCAGAAACCTCTGGAACCGCCTCAAAACCCCTTCTCAACAACCTTCCCCCAAAAGGGAAGATTGAAGACAGGTCGAAAATTATCCACCTGATAGGATGGAATCCAGCGATGGTGTCTTGAAAAGAGGGCTGATTACAGCCTCTTTAAAGTGCAGGGGACTACCCCTTCCTGTAGGGAAGCATTAATCAATGCCACCCACTTTTTACCTCCCCAGAAGCTTTCACAAGCCAGGAGGGACATGGCTCTAAAACACAGGTGCCTGCAAGCATATTCCCTAGGATCCTGTCCACTTCCTCAGGAGCAACAGAATCAAACTGTTCCCAGATAACAGGGCAAGAACCTGCCTCAGGGACCTCCACTAGATCAGCAACCACGCTGGCATCTAACTGGGAACAAAGTCCAGCAATTTTGCCTTTCAGAAAATTCACAAATTCCTTAGCGCGCCCCCTCAGGTGGGCCTCGGTCTCTTCCTTCCCCAGGAGGAGATGGCTCACTTTAAAGAGATTTGTTGGTCAGTTATCTGCAGATGCAATTAGTGCAGAGAAGTATTTACATTTCACTGCATGAATTGCCCTTAAGCTCTTATTCATGTTCGATCCAGTTCATTCCTTGTCTTCTGTCAGCAGTGCTCTAGACATCTCTTTGTTAGGGTTTGCAGCAATCCAACCAGCACACAAGTAAATAATTCAGCAGGATTGATTTATATAAGAAACTTTTTTATATACAATACCATACAGCAGAAGCCAGAACCAGAACTCAGAACCCAGAAGTACAGAATCAATAATCACAGAAGCACTCATATATATATATATATACAGATCGAACCTAAGCCATGCCTAGGCTCCGAGCCATCTAGGTCACCAAACAGTCCCCATTGGCTGACCTGTTACCATGTCTATTCCAGTTTGTGAAACCTTATATACTGACACTCTTCATCTGTTTCACCCCCCTCCGTTCTTCTGTCTACCACAGAAGACAGAGAGGTCTATGAGTGAGGAGAGGTCACAGGGGCATAATCCTATCCAGAGTCTCAGTCACCTTTCTATTCCAAATAGTGACTAAGAGTTCGGCTGAGAAACTAATTGCCATCAAACTGTGTTTTGACTATGACAGGGGGACCAAATTCCACCAATTCTGTGTCACATAGGCACTGCCCTGACAAGAACACCAAATCGGGTATGTGACCACTATTCCTAGTCAGGCCCTGGATAATCTGGGACAGGCCCATGGAAGTCCTGGTTTCCATGAAATCCCGGGCTGCATCTGACCCCACCACCAGAGATGGCAGATTGAAGTTCCCCAGAACTATAAGCCTGGGGAACTCAATTGCCAAACCTGCGGTGAGGTCCAGGAGCTCGGGTAGGAAAGCTGCCACACAGCAGGGAAGGTGGTGTAGCAGCAGCAATCCCACCTGATCCCTTGAGCCCAATCTAAATAAAAGGGTTTTATAGCCAAGCAGTTGTGGAGCTGTGCCCCAGAGACTGCCAGAGAATCCCTAATAACAACAGCCACAACCCTCCCCGGTCCTGAGCTCTAGGCTGATGCCATGCTCAATAACCCATTGGGAATGTTTCTAAGATGGGAACACCTTCCTCTGGGCCCAGCCAGGTCTCAGTTATACAAGCTAGATCAGCTTTCTCTTCAAAAATCAAATCAGGCTGATCTGACAATTAAAAGCAGCCTAAGACCAGGACCACCATAGATCTGCTGACCAGGTAAATGAGATGGAGTACAAGGGGGCAGAAAATGAAACTGGTTCTAAACACCGAGGTTGCATTGCCCATGAGTGCCCCCCTTGCATCGTGTATTTTCTGTTATCCGACCCTACTGAAATAGACCGCCCTCCTCTGCCTTCCCTGCCAACCATTCCATCCCCCATCTCTCACACTCTTCCTTGGTATAAAAGGGGAACCTCCTCCAATTGACAAATGGGCAAAGAGAGCCCAACAGGCACTATAGCACTTGCTCTCTGTGCCCTCAAGCCCATACCACCCCTTCCTCACTTCCGCAGAGAGGTCACATCCAGCACCCCATTATTCCCTAACACGCTCACAATACATTGACTTAATGCACAAACAGCACCCTGCCCAGTTACTCTCACCCACCAAGCAGGGAGCCACTCACCCCATCTCTCACCAGGGGAGTGGAATCAACACACTCACTGACTCTCACCCAACTTATACCTATCTTTGGCCTCTGCCCAAAATATAAATAATTCCAACCATCTTTGCTTTTAAAAAGGCTTCGAAGACCTGACTCTTCTGCCAGCCATTGGAACCAGGATATTGATGGAGATTAACTATAAACTAGTTAAATGAATTATTTTTCCATTAAATAATTTTTAAAATCATTATTGTTTAAATTTTATTTAAGCATAATACAGTATCCAATTAATGTTGGATTGCTAAAGAGGAATGAAGAAAGGAGTGATCAAAACTTAGGTTTGAGCACATAATATGAAATCGTAGTTGAACGTTCTTAGTATGTTCTTGAGAAGTTATATGGAAGATATCTTTACCAACCAAAATCCCAGTCTTAATTCATGTTCATGATGGGCCTTATTCATTACTTGAACAGAAATATATTTCAATTAGAAATCTAAGTGTGCATCTTTCTAGAAACTTGAAAGAGCTTATGACTTTAATTTTTTTTTAAATTGTTTCAATTATTTTGTATTATACTTTATACTGTTCTAGTACACATTAAGAACTGGGTTTGCAAGGAACAATACTATAGAAGGAATATTTTAAGTACATAAAGTGGAAAACATTTGCCATTTTTAGTACTTTTCTTGCATTGTATTTTATAAGATAAATATGAATTATAATTATAATTTGAAAAATGCTTTAGTCTTAGCCCCATATTTCAGATTGTGCATGATTTAAATCTTGTAGGCTGAAATAGTTAGCTTCTGATTTTTTCTGATGTTCACCATATGGACAACTTATATTTCAACAATTAGATGCAACATGAATATTGTGTTTGTAATATGTGGCCATCCAGAATAATTTTTATTTTCACTGTAATCTCTTAACACACATGAAGCTTATGGGGGTTATCATTCCTTTTACTAGTGTACTAGTTTCTAGATTGAAACAAATGGAGTGTATTCAGAGTGTATTTTTGAAAATTCAGAGTGTAAATTTGCTAATCTCAAATAGCTCTTTTTTCTTAGACATATTTGAGGGTAGCAGATATTGTAAGCATGCTTTTCCCAAAATTTGTCATTTAAATTCCTTCTTATTTTTCACAGAGGAAAAAAAACCTAAAGTCAAGAAACCAAAATCTGAATTTCCTGTGTATACTGTGGCTGAAACAAATGCATATATACCATCATATGATCATGGGACTTCTATTGAAGAAATTGAAGACCAGATGGATGATTGGTTGGAAGACAGGAACAAATCACTTAAAAAAAAGGCAAGTATATATTTGTTTTAAAAGGATAAAAAAGAATGAAGACCTGGCAAGGAATTATACATTGATGTATTTACCAGTATATTCTAATACTTGTAGGTTGTATTTGAGTAAGCAGTCAAAATAATGGCTTTCAAATCTGACAGAGGCAAAGTGTCTCTCATATAGCAGGTCAGGGCTGAATTATTTAAGATACATTTAATATTTATAATTATATGTCTGATCCCACTATTTTTTGTAGAATAAATTCATTATTAGAACAGCTGTGCTAATTCTGCACTTTGTTTTGGTCATCTTCCTTGTTGTCTTATGCAGATGAGAAGTAACATTATGCAGATGAGAAGTTTGAATTACCTGAAAAGAGTTAGGGTTCAGTCTTTTAAATCCTGGATTTATTGTACATAAATTCTAATTTCCTTGTATTTATTTTTCTAATTATCTTGATATATCAGAAAAAGACTGAGTAAAGATATACTTCAAGACAATGCAAAAGTTAAAGCTGTTTCTATTGTACTTTGCTACCATATATGTTATATTGTAAGTTGCTACCAAATACATACTATTTTATATCTGGCATGTTAATCCTGCCCCTGTAAAAATTCATGGGTCCAAGCTGAAGTGTTAAGAAGTGGAAATGTGTAGAGTGAATCATTTGTTTGTCATTAGAAAAATGAACATTTCTAAAAGATGAAAGACAAGTGAATTCTAGGTGTCTAAATCTACCGTATATAAGCACAATAAGACAACCGTGATGGGGAGCAGTTAATTTACCACACATTGAGGAAATGAATCTGAGTATTATCTTGGATTTCCAGAGCACATTACCAGTTACCAATGCATGAAAAAACTTCACACTTTTCAAAATTTAAAAACTATTAATGAGTCATACTTCTTTCTGAGGATTATGATATGTCATCTGGGTCTTCTTGATGACTATTGGTATACTTGGAGAGTTTCATAATCTTTTAAAAGATTATGTATTGTTTTTTCTCACATGGAAAATTTCATGGCTGTAATTCTTAGCCAAATATATAAAAAGAAGTCGTTTGAACCATCTTTTTAAATAAAATAAAATTACTGTTAAATGTGTAACTGGTGAGAAAAAAATCTAAATGGGCAAAATCTTTGCACTGTAAGTTTATGTAAACCCTTTGAATTATTTTAGCTAATTAAAAGATATTTCTGTCATTGTATTCAGTCTCTTTTGGTTGATTGAACGCAGTGCAACAATCTGACCAATACATTTGTTTCAAAATACTACAAAATGATGACCAAAGCATAATATAAGACCTCAACACAGCAGTTGTTCTTTTGTGGAAATAGCTAGGCAACCACATTTGAATCCAGTAATGACGTAACCACCTTTAGTGTTTCTTAGTACATCAATAATACCTCAATAATTAGTTTAAGACTAAGTGAAATGGTGAGTAACATAAAGACAACAGAAAATCTAAGTGGCCTGAATCCTATGCTGTAAAAATGATATGCTGATTTTTTTTTAAAAAAAAGGTATTAAAATAAAGCATCATGTTTAAAGAAGCATTAAGATATTTAAACTTTGAAGCTACATTTCAGATTCTTGGCATGTGTATGTAAGCTTCCGTCTTTTAAAGAGATAGATGATAGGTAGGTAGGTAGGAAGGAAGGTAGGTAGGTAGGTAGGTAGGTAGGTAGGTAGGTAGGTAGATAGATAGATAGATAGATAGATAGATAGATAGATAGATAGAATAACTTTGTCACTTTGAATGTACACTAATCGGCATACATTAAATGAAATTTCATTGCATGTAGCTGTTAAAGCTATATGCAACAAAATATACCACCTCCAATATACATTACATAAACATGACAAAGTAAATAAATAAATGCAAAATTATGTGTTTACCCACATATTTTATATGACACAGAGAAACAACACAGTTTAGTTTGGATGTATACAGACGGATGGTATAGGGAACAAAGATGTTACAGAATCTGGTAGTCCTGCTAGAAATACTTTGAAACCTCCTCCCTGCTCCCCAGAGAGGAGCAACAGAAACAGATGTGAAGTGGGTGTGTGGGGTCTCTGACAATGCTTTGAGCTCTAAGCACAACAGAAAGCAAGCTTCCTATAACCTTCTCGCTGTCCTTAACCACTCTCTGTGGTAAGATGTCTCCTTAATGTGACTTCAGAAGCTACTTTTAAAATTCTCTGATCTGTTAGATCAGAAAAGCTGGTGTTAGTGTGCACTCTTCCATCTCAACCAGAATTGATCTGTTTATGAACAAATATTATTTTAGGCTGGAGCAAAATGAATCCACATACAATTATAATGCATACGTATTTTCATGAAATAAGAGCAGTTTTGAATCTTTTAACTTTGTGGTCCATGAACCCCTGGGGCGCGCGATGTCATCACTGGAGATTTGCAAAAGCTTGAAGCAATGTTATGATTTAAATCTTGAGTTGTCTTGGAGTCCACGGCCATGGTCCGTAACCACAAAAGGTATTTAAAAGAGATCTTTGGTGAAGAAAAGGTTGAGAATCACTGCTCTAAAGTATCTGTGACAGATAGTCATTCAGACTTTGTTTGAAGACCTATTACATCACATCATGTATGACAATCTGTTTCACTGGCTGATCAGCCTATGCAGCCAGGAAGTACTCTGGGATCTAGCCTGAAACTCCTTTTTTTTAGTGGGGCAAAGGCGAATGAGTTCATTTCTTCTATGAGATACTTCTTCAGTTATTTGAAGATTGCTACCATATCTTCCCTTAATCATTTTTCCTGAAGGCTAAACACACACACACACACACATCTATCCATTCATCCATGAACTGTTCCTTATAGGACTTGGTTTCCAGACCAATCACTATCTTGAGAGCCCTCATCTGAAGTCACGTCAGTTTATCCTTAACCTCTTTTGAACTGTCCTGCCATATCTGGGCATAGTACTGTGAATATTATTGACTAGAGCAGACTAAATTAATTACATCTGTAAATCACACTCCTCTCTATCTGAAGATAGGGCTGCCATTTTAGCAGCTGCATCACATTGCTGGCTCATGTTTAATGTGAAGGTGACAAGGATACTAACATCCTTTCCCCATGTATTACTGCCAAGCCAGGTTATCCGGTGCTAGACTTGTGACTTTCATTTTTCCTATCCAAATGCAGAATTCCAAATTTCTCCCTACTAAATGCCATCCCAATTATTTCAGCCACTGGCCATGTCTGCCCAGATCTTTTTGAAACTTTGGTCATTCATTAAAAACTCTGTTCATCAAACCTGACAATGTTAAATAGACAGACTTCAACTCCTACTGGGAGTTGGCTGGCTGGGGGCGTCTCGGATTTAGAAGTCCAAATTTAAGAAATATTGATTTAAAATGTTGCCATGGCCCTCAGTTTTGTATCACCTGCAGATCTGAGAAGTGCCTCTTCAACTCTCCCATCCAAGCAGTGGTGAAATCCAATTTTTTTTACTACCGGTTCTGTGGGCTTGGCTTGGTGGGTGTGGCAGGGGAAGGATACTGCAAAATCTCCATTCCCACCCCACTCCAGGGGAAGGATAGTGCAAAATCCCCATTCCCTCCCCACTCCTGGGGGAAGGTTATTGCAAAATCTTCATTCTCACCCCACTCTGGGGCCAGCCAGAGGTGGTATTTGCCAGTTTTCTGAACTACTCAAAATTTCCGCTAGCGGTTCTACAAACTGCTCAAAATTTCCGTTACCGGTTCTCCAGAACCTGTCAGAACTTGCTGGAATTCACTCCTGCATCTAAATCATTCTCAAAGATTACTGAGAGATTACTGAGATCCATTAATTCTTATGTTATTGCTTTCAGTGCCTGTTATATGTTTGGTCTGGAGATTTGAATTTAAATCCACAGTATCTCATCCTGTGTTTTGGAATGACTCTAAAAAGTTTTGCTCAGGCTTCTACATGACAGCCTTTCATACACTTAAAAATAGTTCTCATATCTCCCTATGATATTCTCCATTCTTCTTAATCTTTTTTCCATGCTCCATTAATTTCTTTTTAAAATGTGGTGCCCAGAACTGAATACAATATTCTAAGTATGGTCTGATCAATGCAGAATAGAGAGGAACAGTGACTTTGCTTCCTTTAACCAGCTTCCTATTCTGACAGTTTTTTATACTTAAAAGTAGCCTAACCCAACTTAAAAATAAGTAAGCTGTAAGAAATTTAGTTTCAATCAGTAAGGTTAGCAATTAAATATTTTAGAAAATTGAGAAAAAAATCCAACATGTTCTAGATGTGTACCTTTTTGTATATTATAAATGCATACTTTTTTGGACTTATATGAAGATTTCTAAATTTCACCAATGGCCTGGATATAATTGGTGAGTTAAATAATTGCTCAAAATTTAACAAAAGATGCAGGAAATGTAATGGCTGTCAGTTTTGGAAGCCATATTAGGCCGGAAGCTTCAATGCTGCCACCTTCTCATGTGTGGGAAAGTAAGAGGGGGAATTAAGGAGAGGGGTTGTTAGTAGACATAATAGCATTCTTCCTGTCGGTCAAGGTCAGGGCAATCCAGCATCTGGAGAAGGAGTGGTCAGGGGGCTGGATCGAGATGGAACAGACGTTGATTGGAGCATGTGATCGACTGGGGAGTAAGGGGATTTTGGGGCTTTTGACTTACTGAGGGAAAACCCGGGCTTTTCAGATTCGGGTTTTCCCAGATGTGCCAGTTTGCCTATTCTAGTAAAGAGAACTTTGGAAAAATGCTTGCTTCCGCGTCTTTACTTGGAGTTGGGGTTTTTCTGGAACACTGACAATGGCTAGAATCACAAGCTAATTCTAATTAATGAAATCTGGTTTCTTTAATACTACATCAATATAAATTAAATACTATTTATCACTTTTTTATTCCTTTCCTAGAAGCAGTTCAGCTTTTCCCCCATCCCTCCTTTTTTTAAAAAAACTTCCAACAACCCTACAGTATGGTTTAGTCGTCTGAACAAATTTTGACTAGAGATTGCATTCTTACAGTG